GAAAATGTGCCCGACGGACAGCGTGCGGATTTTCTACTGACCAAACATGAGTGTTGCGAAAGTTATTCACCCCATTACGCGTGAACGTAGATTCGTCTGTCACCAATATGCACTTCAAAAAGTCCGGATTATTGTCATGTTGATGCAACAACCACTCACAAAACCGCACTCTTGCTGGAAAATCGTCAGGTTGAAGGGCTTGTACACGTTGGACGTGAAACGGGTACAGCCCCTCTTCACGCAGCGTTTGCCACACTTTAGTTTTTGATACTTGCACTTCTCTAGCCACGTCTCTAGTGCTTGTTGAGGGATTCTCGTCTACGCGATTACCTCGCGTGACCGTAGCCGTCGGTTGAAGGTTGCATACTGACCTGACACACTGACCCCGACCCCCGACCCAGTTCTGTCGTTGAGCCAGTGACATTGTACCACTCCGTGATGTCGCGGCTATAGGACGGTATTCAGATATGTTTGATGTTGCAGAGCTCTTTATCTCGGTTAACTTAAGACATTGGTGTAAGTGGTACTAAGAAAAATTGCTTATGTTTTCAAGATCTACACGTCGTGTAAAGGAAAACCCCAACTTTTCCTTTACACAACGTGTAGATCTTGAAAACATAAGCAATTTTTCTTAGTACCATATACACCAATGTCTTAAGGGAACCGAGATAAAGGGCTCTGCAACATCAAAAATATCTGAATACCGTCCTGTAGCTGCGCCATCACGGAGTGTACAATGTCACTGGCTCAACGACAGAACTGGGTCGGGGGTCGGGGTCAGTGTGTCAGGCAATGTTGCCAGATTACACGATTAATCGTGTAATTACACGATTTCGGTCCTTTTTACACGATTACACGAATGAAGTGCCAATTCTCACGATTTTTGAGATTTTACAAAAAAAATCATTACTTTTACTTATTTAAAATGCCAACAGCACCCAAATCAATGTATCAACTCCACTTATTCATGTTTATGTAGAAAAGTTTCATGCTTTCACGGGATTTATCAATTGGCGGCACTGACGATTAATTCGGGGAATCCCGTAGAGCCGGTTGATGTTGATCACGTAGTACGTTGTCAGTTTGCATTCACTACTTGTTTTAACTTATGCATTTTGCTTACTGATACTTCCATCTAGTATTTCATTATAAATCGTATTTAAAATGTGTAATACTTCTGTTAGTAAGAGTGATGTGCCGATGCAAGAAATAAAAGATGTTAGCAGTGTTAGTACGCCTAAAAAAAAACTAAAAAGTACGGATTATACGCAGAAATACAAAAGAGACTGAGAAAAAGAGTGGAAGTGGCTCCAGTCAAGTAAGAAAGGTCCAACTTACGCGTGGTATGATAGTTTGTTGTATGATTTTGTAACTTTAAAATAATTTAAGTTTATAATATTTTAGGTGCAAATTCTGCAGTTGCGATATCCTTATTGCGAGAGGCAAAGGAGAAATTAAAAAGCATACCACCACTGCCAAACACATAAAGTCAATATCAACCATCAAATCGCAACCATCTGTGGCGTCAATGTTTGGCAAAAAATCCAAAAATATCGACGAAAAGGCAAAAGAGGGTGTTTTACGTCTTGTTAGTTTTATTGCGGAGCATAACTTGCCAATAAGATTAATGGAACATATTCCGAATTTAGTTAAAAGTATTTGCCCAGATTCTGAAATTGCGCAAGCTATCAGATATAGTCGTACAAAAATGACTAACGTAATAAAAACAAACGAGATGGCTTTCCCTAGAATTGGTTATCAAAAGATTGATTTCACAATATAACGCTTTATTTTACGGAGCAAGCTTATGAAGGAGTGTTGCAAGCCGACAATAATTTAGAAAAACTTAAAAAACCAGAGACAAAACTATACCTTGATTTTTTGGCATATATATTACCATTATTTAACCGGCTAAACCTTTTAATGCAGAGTGAGAAACCACAGCTACATAAAGTATATGAAGAAGTGACATGTGTGTTAAAAACCATAATGGACTGTTTTATTAAACGAGATATTTTAGAGAACATCATGGTGTATGAAATTGATTATAAAAATCCGAGAAATTTTTCAACAATTGATGATATATACTTTGGTGCATCAATTAATGTAAGTAAAATTGACAGAAACATTTTATATTCTGTCAAAGCATTTCACGCTTGGATTTTTATGTTGAAAGTACAATGAAAATATTGCTCAGATTTCCCTTAAAGAATTCTGTAATAGAAAAATTTAAGTTTCTGGATCCCATTTGTGTGAAATCCAAAGAGAAGAACACTATTTCTGATGTGGCGTCGTTTTTTCCAAATTTAATTCATCCTGATGAAATTCAGGATCTGGATAATGAATGGAGATTGCTAAAAAATTACCCTCTGGATGACACTGAGAATGATATTTTAAAATTTTGGAGCGGAATTGCCCAAGTAAAGATAGGAGATTCTCTAAAATTTCCTATTTTAACTAAGTTTGTTTTTCAAATTATGTGTTTGCCTCATTCAAGTGCGGCTGTAGAGAGAATATTTTCCCAAATTAATCTGATTAAAACACAGTTTCGCAATAAGTTAAAAACAAAAACAATAGAAGGTCTTTTGCATACAAAAAGTTTTATGGAAAATAAAACATGTTACGATTTTACTTTAAACAAAAATATTAGCAGAAAACTTGGCAATAGCAGCCTATTATATTTAGCCGAACATGAAAATAAAGACTCTAGCGACTCAGAGTCTTCGTAACACGGTAACATAATGTTTTGAGTACAAATTGTGTATTTACTTTATTTATTATTTTAAAAGAATATACCTTTATGTTACTTTTTTAAGTTAGTGTCTTGCGTTTTAATATTGTTTTCGTTTCTGATATTTACAATAAAGTTTATTTATTTAATATGGTATTTTGATACTCGTGTCTATATACATATTATTTAAATTAAATTTAGCATTTTTCGGCTTTACACGATTTTACACGATTTTCGGCAGAGGAGTTTCATGATTTTCTTTTAACTTCATCTGGCAACACTGGTGTCAGGTCAGTATGCAACCTTCAACCGATGGTTACGGTCACGCCTGTAGAGGTAATCGCGTAGACGATAATCCCTCAACAAGCACTAGAGACGTGGCTAGAGAAGTGCAAGTATCAAAAACTAAAGTGTGGCAAACGCTGCGTGAAGACGGGCTATATCCGTTTCACGTCCAACGTGTACAAGCCCTTCAACCTGACGATTTTCCAGCAAGAGTGCGGTTTTGTGAGTGGTTGTTGCATCAACATGACAATAATCCGGACTTTTTGAAGTGCATATTGGTGACAGACGAATCTACGTTCACGCGTAATGGGGTGAATAACTTTCGCAACACTCATGTTTGGTCAGTAGAAAATCCACGCTGTCCGTCGGGCACATTTTCAACAAACATTTTCGGTGAATGTTTGGGCTGGCATGGTGCGCCTGCTCGGTAGTGCATCAGCTGATTTCATTTTCTGTTGGAACGGTATGATTTCGGGCAGAGACGTACTTAGCCCTTCTCGTCAACTGGAGAGTGAGTATTTTTTCCTTTATTTTTTTTTACTTGGTCGCCCTCGTTTCACTACACATTACCTTTGTTATTTCAAGGGTAGTTGTTTCTGAAAAGGAAAACCCCAACTTTGCGGACACCCTGTATATCGGTCGGTACGTGTTAGATAATGTGGAGGTTATTAGGAAAGATGAATGAAATCTCGAAGGATTTTTCAATAGTTGATAAATTTTCATGTTCTTCCAAATTAGTCAGTGGTTTTAAAAAAACAGCTATGTTGTTGCCATTTATTGATAGAATTAAAAAAATTCCGTCCTAATCGAACCTCACCGGTCCAGTTTTTTTTCGTCGACTATGTGTTCCCTACGAAAAATTTCAGCAACAATCTCGCCGACTTACTCCAGACGATGATGGCATAGACCATCGAAAGCTCGAGTTCAAGTTCAAGACTTTGCCTTCAACCCAAAGAAATTTACAGTTATTTTCTCCTAACAGTTAAGGCAATTAACTAGGTATATATATATATACCTCAGCAAGTGTTTGTTGCCAAAATGTTTATCAAAAATGTGGAATTTCTGTTACACTGGCAGTTGAAAGTCAGGACACGTCATACCGTTATAACCGCAGCAAAACTGGAAACCCATAGACACGTCATTATGGTATTTCTTATTTAAGGCCCGTATCGTCAGTCGTCCCTACAATTGTAGGGCGCCTTTATGGCCTCCTTGATTGTCATAGTTTTCTACTTCTCCGTGTCAGAACTCTATTTTGAGGTTATGTCACAAACATCTATTTGCATCAAATTGTGCTTGGTTTTGAGTTATATCATGTTTTATCAGCCTGAAATTTCCTACAATTTAAAAAGAAAACATATCTTCGCAATAGGAGAGCGCTGACGCTGACACGGGACAAGTGTAATCTAGAAATTTTTGAAGGAGAGAAAGGAGTATGACAATCAAGGAGGCCATAAACGCGCCCTACAATTGTAGGGACGACTGACGATACGGGCCTAAGACCTTGAACATTTGATGGATTATATAAGATGGAACATACTATTGTATCGTAACAGCTCAAAAGCGGTGCTTATGCTTCCCATTCCATCAGATCATCATGTGATCTGAACGTGGTACGGAAATACAGAGAGTGTAACTATAGAATCTGGCACGCTATGATATGGAGGTTTCTTCTGTAAGTTGATCCAAAAGACTTTCAGATCATAATAAGTTATGATGTGTCCACAATATGGCCTATAAGGGCCAATGTTCCTCAATCTGCGGTCCTCACATCAGTGCTTTACTCTGTGCATATTTGTGCGTTACATTCCAATAGTTGTGAAGTATATTTTTGAGCTGATAATACTGCATTTATTATTACAAATGGTAGAGCATCAAACTGACCGATATAGATACAAGAGCAGATGTTCTCAGACCACCTTAATAAATACTTAATGGTGTATAAAATCTTGGGGTAATCTCAAGAGGTTGTTTTCTATTTCAGCATAGCACAGGTCGAATGTACTTGACGTTCCTGCATACATTATGTCGGACGAAGGCACAAGAGAATACCTATGAGCTTGCCTCCCAATCATCAAGAAAACACACTGTTCGTATGAACTCTTTCAGGACCAGTGCCACAGAGTCGCAAGTTCTATGACGCCACATCGAAAATACGTTTTTGTAAAATAAATTTGTTTATAGTTCCTCAAGCAAAGAGTGTATATAACCTTCTGTCTTTGCATATTGTAGTATTAGCGATTGGTTCTAAGAAATCGGCAATGTGTATAGAGACAACCGGTCATAAAAAGTGACATTTCAATTCGTTGAATTTCAAGTTACTACTGGAGATACCAAAGATTCGGAATGCAAAGCAATGCCACGAAAATGGGTATATAATATAGTATGCAATTTGGTACTTAAAGTATTGAACTGATATCAAGATTTTTTATTGATAAAAGCTCCGGCGAGATCTGTAGAGTAGTATTACTAAGATGGTATAAAGGGGGGTATACTTGGCAGCCGTCTAGGTTTCGAGGGAGATTCGAAAATTTACCGTGATTAATCTGTTTGTAGAAAACGATAAGATGTGTGTTATACAGGGTGCGGCAGAGAGGATGGACGGTTTTAAAAAAATCATAATAGTTAATTTTTACTCGAAAACAAATTTATTGATGGAATCAGGTTCACAAGGAAATAGCATTTGAGACAGTCAAGTGTGGAAAATCACATCAGGCATGTGGTGGCCGAAATCGTTGATGCAGTGCTGGAGGCGTTTTTGGAAGTTCGCGTAGACTCTCTCCAACATCGCTCTCTCAACTTGGAACACGTCGCCGTCGTAATTCAGGGAGAAAGAAGTTGGTGATCATGTCGACGTAGCGCTTTGAGTTCACGGTAACATCACGGCCATTACCGTCTTCGAAGAAGTAAGGGCCAATGATGCAAGTTTGCGATACAGCTCACAAAACCGTTACTTTTGGACTGTGCAGCCGTCTTTCGTGTAACTGTTGCGGATTTTCATTAGCCCAATAACGACAATTCTGCTGGTTAACCATGCTGTTTAGGTGAAAGTGGGCTTCGTCACTCATAGGCGAAAACGCGGTGCTCCACCGTCCAAGGGTCCATAACCACAACTGGTAAAATAATGCTAGGCTCTCACGACTCAAACGGCACGCTCCCCACCTCTCTCGTGGACGGAGGCGGAGAGTACTACCCATCCCAAAAACGTCCGTCATCTCTGGCGCACCCTGTATAAAATCGTGACTGTTGACACATTAATAGTTTTGAGCAAAACTGATCATCCAATTCGCCTCGCGTACCATTAGAATAAAAAACAATACAACTCACCATATGACAACGCATAAGAAACCTGACTGACGAAAAGCCTGACAGATTATTTTCTTGACTTCTTTGACTTTCCTCGACGCTTGTCTCCTCCTCCTCCATTGTTTAAAATTAACAATGCGGACGAGTATACCCCTTAGTGTTGCCAAAAGAAAATGCTGTTTTATCAAAGAATATTCAAGACATATACCTATACTGAAATATCATAGTAATGATGAAGTGATTTTGAACTACGATGCTAAAGTGATCTTTATACAGGGTGTTTTTAAAGTTGGGACCTCTATTTAGACAGCGTATAGTTCATGTAACAGTACGCAAAATTTCCTAGTAACACACATACAGCAAAGCCTTAAATATTAAATTCCGAAAAAATGTGAATCTGCTAAACCGTCACTGCATTCAGCTTGAAAAAGTCCGACGTGCGTTGGAATCCAAAACTCGCGCCGCTCGGTGTGTAGGTTAACTAAGATGTTACTTTCTAAATCAGATTAAGAAAAACGAAATTCGAACATTCCTAAAGCAATAGCGAAGTTGCCGATTGGACGTTTGTTTAGGGCGAGTGTCTTCGAAATGCTCTGATACTTCGCGAGTTGCGTAGGTTTATTTATATCGTAGAAAAGCTATTTGTAGCGAAATTAGGGTGGACACAGTAGAAGATCTAGACACCTCGATGTCACAAATTGAGGATGAAGTCAACAAAATTGATGTTTTTAGATCAAAAGGCGACTCCCTCAGATAGTATTTACGAGCAATATGTGACAGTATGGTATTTGAAATTTCTTATCAAATGAATGAGTACTTTTCTTCAATTGCCTTTTTACGTTTTCGCTGTTGTCATCACACACACTAACTACTGCAAACGTAACTGATTCTGAAACGAAAAGTCACAACTCCCCGAACAACCTATATAATAATGTAACAAGATTAGGAAACGTAGTCTTAAATAAATTGCATACCTTTTTGGGATCTTTTAGAGAAATAAATGATTTGAAATTAACCTTTATACAAACTTTTGAATATATTTTTGCTGAAAGAAACGTCCTCAACTACACCCCATTTTACCTGAATAAGGTAAGCACTGTAAATGTGATATATTGTAACAGTATTAGAAGTTTATGTTCTACCAGGCAAGCATTGTAAGACCATAATGGAAACAGTATTTCTAATAAATTAATTTACTTTTTAAATATGAAGGTTGACTATGGTTGCCTGTATTTTGTTGTTTATTTGTAAATAAATGTTTGTTGTATATAAACATATTAATCTAGTCATACTTGTAATTGAACGGATCTGTTTTGGCAGACCAAAGGGGAACTAACGCGCATACAAATGTTGAAGTCTGGTAGCAACTGCATATAAAAAGTTCAGGCAATCGCCATTTACTGATGTCTCAATTCAATCTTATTTGCTGATTCACTTTCTTAAATTGTACACTATTGTCAATAAAATCTGCACTTCGCGATGTTTCAGTTGATCGGTAACCATCGCAACTTCAATATCGTCGGTACAACTTTCCCTTAACATACTTACTTTTAACTGAATTAATGCAGTTGTCAATCGAACTTCAAAAAGTTTTTATTAAAATATATGTGATATGATCTTATTTGTACTGTATGGAAAAGATGTATAATAAAATTCAAAAAGTGAATATTTGTATATTGCTTTTTCCTGGAATAAGGGCTAGAAATTGTATACTCAAGGCTGCTTTTTCTGTCGATGTGTCTCTCATACTACTGGAAATAACCCAAAATCATATTTTTCATCTGAAAGGTGAATCCATAAGATTGGGCGACATGAGATAAGCATTTTAAACATTGTACAGAGATGACATCTGAAACTGACCTGGTACCTCAAACATTGACAAAACACAGCTTGAAGATGCTAACAAAGACTCCTTTTTTCGGATAATCTTCAGCCCATTATCAAGGATAACATTCCGTGTATTATAACGATTTATTGAGAAATAATATGTCAATATATACTTTGGTATAATATATATATACGTATAACAAATTACAAATAATCTTTATAAAAAATATGAGAAAACAGGTAAAACTTCTCACTTTTAGTTTCATATAAAAATATTGGTAACGAGGTATCATACTTGTCAGAGGCGTAGATAAGGAGGGGCGCCCCCGCCTCCTTCCGAGCGGACCAAAATGCAGATCAAATTGGCAAAATTTCCAATTTTTAGGAGAACTACTGCCATATTGTGACTACGGGCGTACCTATAGCTTTTGTAAAGGAGAAGTCTAAAATGTGATGACACCGTATTGATTTATAGGTTATTATCTACAAAAGTTTAGTAGCTAATTCACATGTTCCCAGTTCATGTTTCAGATCCTAGGCAAAGTCTGGAAAGATATATAAAAGAAGTGCAGTTTTTTAGAAGCAAAATAATCTATGTTATGTGACCCACCACTTCCAAATTCTAAAAGAAAACACATGAAAAGTAATACTAAAATGTCAAGTACGTTCTCCGGGACGCTGTCTTAACGGCAATTGAAAGTTTAAATATCTTTTTTCCGCTACTGACCAAAGAAATTCCCATTAATACCCGCAATGCATTATTGAGAAGTAACATTAGGTACTAGGTAAATAATGCGAACAATAAACACTTAGGTAAATAATGTCATTTCAAATTGTATCTTTTCAATTTCGTTATGTTGTTATTTTAACATGATTGAGAAATTAATGATCGATATGTTTGAAAACGGCTTTCAATATTAACAAAAAGAAAACATTTTGACTATACTCATCCATTAAACAAATAAAAACCGTTTCTTTGCAGGATCGTAACAATATCGTTAATATGACAATACCATCAGAGAAACAGCTTTGATGTTTTTAGATGAAAACCGTGCGTTGGACTAAAAAAATCAAAATATCAAATCTGCTCAAAAAAATACAGATAACAGTTTTATTTTCAGTCACTGGCGATATTTAGGACTATGTTAATTGGGACGCCACTGGTTAAAATCGAGAATTTGTTTTTTAAGATGTTTCCACTGAAAATAAGACGGACCTCCAAAATTTGAACTCCCACTATCACTCCCCGGACCACTTAGGGCGGATATCCCTTGATAAAATGGGATACTAAGCACGTTTAATGCAATATAGTATGAGCTGTAGAAATTTGTATATCATTTATCAATAAGGCTTGTTTCTTGATAAATCGGTAAAGTTCCCCCGCGAGTCTCTAATATTCCGCATATGACCTGCAAAATCTAATACAGCTCGGTTGTATTTCAAAAACTCTAACATGAATCTTAAAATTATCAGTCTATATTCAATTCAACTGGTATGGCACTATCAACGGGTAGTTCCTCGGCTTTTTTCTTTTCCTTAGTTTTAATTTTTTGCTGGTAACTCAAACCTGCTTTATTGAATTCTAGAGTCATCAAGCCCAAATCGCCACTGTATCTATTTTTGGCAACCTGCAAACCACATTGAAAGTTTATTAAACGCGTATATGCATGACGTGTGTAAGGAAAACTAGGTATCACACCATATAATGAATACAATGTTATATTTATAGTTATAGTTTCTTCTATTTTGTCAAAATTTAATTCGATACCTCAAAAATATTGTAAAACTTTTAGCTTGGAAGATATTCGTGGTTAATAGTCATTGCAAACGTTGATTAATTTCATCATGTATGCACTTGTTCACCGATGGCACTTTGTGCTGTCTTATTTCGACGGATCTGACACCTCAGATATAGGATTGCTGTGATGCTTTCGTTGTCCTGAGACCAGGCCTAGACAATGCTAATGAATTGCCAAAAAGCACGAAACAGCTGACCGCGTTGGTATGTTTATGTCGGTGGAAGTCAATTGTCTCATTTAGATCGCCATGGCTGGATAACCTTAATGCAATAGTGCTAATTTTTTACATTCGGTATAATAATGGCCAAGAAGTAATATTTATGGAAGGCCTGCTAAAAAATATACTTGTTTGAAATCGATCAAGTAGACCGTTTTTAAGGAGAATAGTTTTATTTCAACACCGATTTATCGATCATAATACTCAGTCCGATATAATGGTTCCACAATTTTGAAAATACGGTAGTTTGGACAGATTCGTTGTCAGATGCCCGGAAACACCGGAATGACTCCGCATATAGAGTTCTTGGTACATTTATCAAGACTTTTTGGGGCTTTCATCGAAATCCAAAACAAAAATTTAAAAATATATGTAGTATTGCATTAGGGCTAATTCATCGCTGGCGAATTAAATTAAATAACTTATTTAGTCACTGTTTAGTGAAAATTTCGTTGAATTATATGGTGTTACTCTGAAGTACATATTAAAGAAAACCCGTGTTAGCCTTCAGGGGCCTGTATCTCCGAAACGAAGCAGTATGTATTCCGAAAAGCGTTAGGGAAAAAATAATAGTATATCCAATATCGAGTAGACCGTATCTACTATAGGACCAGAATCGGCGACATCTAGCGGCTACAGTGGTAACTCAGTTGATAATGCAAACTGACATACAGTTCCAACAGAGAGCTTGCTGATTTCAAATTCGCAGTGGTCGATTCTGGTAATATATGGCACTTTGTGCTGTATTATTTCGGAAAAAATAGTATTGAAATGGCCCAAAAAATTACACCTTGAATTTTTGCACCATGCTTTGAGAACACCTTATCCAATGTTTATTCATACCTGCAAGTATTTTTTGCCCTTTGTGGATATCAGTCTTCGGTCCTGAATTATAAGTACATTGTCAGCCTCCTGAGACGCTTTTGCTCCTCCAAATATAGAACTCGTAGTTAGATCCTCATCTTCACGTTCTTTCCTAAATTTGATTGTCATAAAATTCGGGAAAATTTTTGGACATACATGGTATCATTCTCGGTTATAAAAAATAACACTCTAGAGAATTTGCAGTAAATTAATTCTTGATGTCTGCATCAAACATTTCCTACATTTTCTGAGCTATACAGTGTTCTCAAAATTGGGTTTTCCTTTTACAAAGCGTATGGTTCTTGTAAGAATAAACAACTTTCCTGGTAACAAATACCCCAAAGGCTTGAGCTATGGTGTTAGTTTACAATGAGTTTTTTCAAGATGCTGCATGCTGGTGAGGTTTTTTCAGCGCATTCAAATCGTTTTTATGAGCGTAGTCATCCGTACCGCGTCGGTTTCTTATAAGTATATCAAGAAGGGCATAACTGAATACTTAGACAACCCCGAATGTTGCAAATGTTGCAATCGTTGAGCACAGATTTGCGTTTTTGGAATCGAACGGCGACCACTTCAAACAGTTGAACGGGACAGCACTTGAAATTTCTTATCAACTAAACGGTAAGTACTTTCGACAAATTTTTGTTATACATTGCCCGTTCTCCGCACATTAGCTTTGATAATTCAAATATAGTTCCTGTCCTGAAAAGAAAGTCCCAACTTTCAGAGTGAACTGCATATCTTCAATTCTATCAAAAATCATTAATTTTGTTTACCTTGGATGTATGACTAGTGTAACATGGCAATTTTTTCTTGTCGCAAACTGTCTAAACGCTTGGATAATAGCGTCTTGTCTCCAAAATCGGTCCAAGTGTTTTTGGTCGTCAGACATGCCCATCATAAACTGTACATTATCGATTATCACATGGCCGATATCGTATACATAAGTAGCATGTTCAACAGCCTTGAAAAAAATGGATAGTCAGATAAATATGAATAACATCAAATGTTCTTTAATACTTCTGGACCTACGAGATATTTTGTACGAAAAAACACTGAACTTTGGCAGCTTGTAAGTCAGTCAGTTTTTTGCTACACTTGCTAACCTAGCACCATTTGGTAAGAAAGAATAGACCCTCTAACTTTATTCTGAGCCCACATCAACATTTGAATGAAAGTTTTTAGGAACATTATTCATCAGTAAAACTAGAACTTCTCGCATCAACATTTTTTATTATTCGCTAATTCTAAATTGAATTCTCTCTAAGGTTTATCGTTCTGCTCTATGGTGTGTGTATAGTTTTTGTTCAGAGTGACCGATGAATAAAAAAGGAAATTCCATTCACAAAAAATGGATTCGAAAAGTTCCGGGACTATTTTTTTCAAAAACATACAGGTGGCGCGATCTATCGGACAATGGCTGAAGTTCGTTCTTGTCGACCGACTGTAGCAGTTTCATTACGTTGGCGCGAACGCGAGGCATTCAAACCAGTGATCGAAGTTAGCGTGTTAAAACCTGAAGTCTACAAAGAGGTGTTGAAGCGTCTGCTGGATCGCATCGGTCGAGTACGAAGAGAAATGTGTAAGACCGATGAATGGTTTTTGCTGCACGACAATGCGCCATCACATTCCTCTCTCATTGTTCAGCAGTTCTTGGCAAAAAAAAAGGTTAATGTGCTCGAAATCGCTCCCTATTCACCTGATCTCGCCCCCGCGGACTTCATGCTGTTTCCTAAACTGAAAGCGGCATTAAAAGGTGAACGTTTCGAAGATATCGAATCGATTCAGCAGAATGTGACGGCAGTCTTGAAGAGAATTCCTACGGAGGACTTTGAGCAGGCATTCCACAGATTGTACGAACGTTCTAAGAAATGTATAGAGAGAGGAGGGATGTATGTAGAAAACTAAATTAATAAATTATTTTGTTTCCGCCGTTTACTATTTTTTTGAATGTAGTCCCGGAACTTTTTGAATACACGGTGGTGTATGTTAATTATGTTAATTGATGATCTTGTAGAGAGCGGCATATTTTCCAAGTAAGAAGTGTATGGTTACCTACAATAATAGTCTTTTTGATATTTAAAATATCGAAATTATCGACCGTTTACTGACTAAAAACTCGCCCTGTATATAGAAGAATCCTAGTTGAGAACTGTAAGAAGTGCCAGGTTAGATCAGGTTGGTTGTCACTTTGCTGGTGGTTTGCTCCCGATTTTGCGACAAAGACACGGAAATCCTTGTCATTTAGTTAATGTTGTTAATGGTATTTTTAACAGTATTTACTTTGAAAATGCAATAGAGTGAGAAAATGACCGTAGCGGAGAATAGCAAATATTTTTCCGTTTATTGTAAATACTGATAGTCTTCCATAATTACAAATTCATTATAGAGAATAGAGAATCTGACATTGATTTAAATCGTGTAAACTAAACTCAGAGCGAAACAGACGCCGCGAAATAATCTCCATTTTTGTAATAAGCCTTAAAACAGAACGCACGCTAACTCACCGGTGAAACGCTCCATGGCGAATAAATTTCCGAACACCAAGCTACTTATCTCTACTAGCCGTGTCCCACTCCTGCGTGTCTGTCACGAGCAATGCGGTTTTGAAATTCGGGCGTCTTTCTGGTCCACCTTGTATATGCCATGGTTGCATGTTGATATATTGATGCATCGACAACAAAGTGTCGTTCATCGATGTCGATGTTTTCTTAAAACTGACAGCCCACATTACTCCGAACGATTGAAGTTCATGAATTGTTTTTAGTAATGGTTACGTCAAAAATATAATGTGGGATTTGATTACCGGTCAATTTTGATAATAAACTCACATACCTAGTGATATTTCATGTTGTGCTGATCCAATTTTTCTTTAGATGCAAAGCCCAGAAATGTTTTCCGTTGGAGATACAGGGTATTAGTTTTGTACCTGAGCCTCTGTAGGTAAGCTTGCCCACACCATTTTACAAAAACTAATTTGTCTTTATTGTAGTCATAACGATATAATGAAAATTACGTACACATATAATATATGCAGGATGTTCCAAGGAAAAAGAAAAGTGGAAAGGGTACTATAAAAATTATACAATATGACTTAACAAACGGACGCAGGAGGCTACATGTTATTGTATGTTGAGATATGGCATCGTGATCACGTAGTGAGATAAGGCCCGTTTTACGGTATAACTTTACGCGTGGTTTAAGCATAGACCAGTGCTTAGAAGGAATGACACTTGCATTAAAGAATGATTGTCCTCATCGTACAACTATATTCAGGTGGTACAGAGAATTCCGAAGTGACAATTTTACTCTGGAGGACGCTGAGAGGGAATGAAATCCGCGAACGTCAGTAACAGAGGAAAACACTACTGCTGTGAGGAAAATGCTTGACGAAGACCGGAGAGTGACATACCAACAGGTAGAGGAGACCTTACACCTTCATATACCAGCAATTCATTCAATTCTGCGTAAGGAAACTTTGTTCTTTCTGGGTACCACATAGTCTAACGGAAGAGCAGAAGACTCGTCTTACGACTTGGTGCCGAAAGATGCTGAAAATGTTTGATAAGGGGCAATATCTCGATATATGAACAGCATCGTGACAGGTGACGAGACTTGGCTCTAGTATTACGAGTGCCGACCAAGGCTCAAAACAAAGTTTGGGTCTTTGATGATGACGACACACCCGTAGCTGTCAGAAAATCCCGATCTGTTGAGAAAAAAATGATAGCTGCATTTTTCAAATCGAGCGGTATTGTAAAGCGTGTCTTTTTGGACACACAGAAGACAGTCACAGCTAAGTGGTTCAGGGAACAGTGCCTTCCTAAAGTCATAGAGTCTATGAAAAACCTGCGGCCAAAGTCAAGAATGGACACTTGGTACCTGCACCATGACAACGCTACAGCTCACCGCGCCAAAGCCTGCACTGAGTATTTGACCACTGCTGGACTGAGACTTATCGAGCAGCCTCCTTATAGTTCAGATCTTGCTCCCTGCGGCTTTGCACTGTCTCCGCATGTGGAAATGAAGCTAAAAGGAAAACGGTTTTCTGGTGATGAGGACCTTCTGAGCGCTTTGGACAACGAGTGTGCCGCACTCCCGGGGAAACTTGGCAGAGCTAGTTTAAGGACTCTTTTTGGCAGATGCATTAGCATATTGAATGGGTTGGAAATTACTTTGGACGAAGTTTAACATCTTATAGTTACGTATCTCTACATTATTTGGGTGTTGCATAATTTCGTGACATTACATCTTTTTTTATTATGTATAATCAGAAAACCGTTCTAAAAAAGAAGTATTAAACTTGAAACGCGAATCTGATTGTGTAAAATTATATGGGATGTTGCATTTTTTGAGAAAAACGACGTTTTGCAGCCACATGATAGCGGAACTTTTTATCCTCTTTCCAAAATTTAGTGAAAAACCATTCAAAATCGCAGAAGTCTCCAAAGATAAGCATTTCTTGAGACACATGATAAAATTACTAAGCAAATGACGATCAAAATCTTAGAGTACATTATATCAACCTCCTTGTTTTATGAAAGGCATTCCCAAATGTCTAATATAATATATTGTTTCTTTAAAAAAAGATTGCTGTGCCACTGAGTTGTACAACACCCTGTATATTTCCAAATAATTTAGAGACATACACCTATAAGATCCCCCGCTTCTTACGCAAACCGTTTTCGAATATCTTATATAGTTCTATTGAACAACTTTCGTTGGGACACCCTGTATAAGTGTTCAGTGATTTTTATTATATCGCTTAGTTCCATGAGTATATTAAAGACGAATTAGTTTCCGTAAAATGATGCAGGCAGGCTAAGGTACCAAACTTTAACACCCAGTAGAAAGCATTTCTGGGCTTCGCACTTTGCATTTCATCAGCACAACATGAACTATTACAATATGAATTTTCCTCAAAATTCTCACACATTTTGTGCATGGTACTTTGACATCATGCGATTGTGAATGGGGATCATAACGCGGCGGCCATAATGTTGAACCACATAGTTATCATATTCCTTATATAAATGTCGTGTCCATAGTAACCACGCTAACATACAAAAAAATACGATTTTGGCGTTTATATAGCATGTCACTAACTTGAATGCAGATCCTCAAATGCCGAAACTGGTTCTACATTTAGTTTTTCCCTATAGTTATTAATTTTACTGTACCTGCATTTCTACTACTAACCTCCATAACAACTTTGATAGTCTGCTGACCATGGAATGTCATGAAATAGATAGGCAATTTCTCAAACTCGTCAGCCAATTGATCAAATAAATGTAGATTTTCATCAAGGGGAAACCCAGCCTTTTGCTGCAACATAGTTTTGGCCAGCCTGGCATTGCGTATCTCAAAACTACCCCAAAGGGTATTTACCTGAAATATATATATTTCCAGTTAGATCTCCAAAATGATTATTCAGAATTTGGAGTAATCACAAACTTTGTTTTTCAGTAACAATGTATTTTATAAAACTTACACCTTGCATCGCAAGATCCAAAGAATATTCACTGATGAAAGTTGTTTTCCCTGATCCAGTAGGACCAGTTATCACAGTCAGTTCTCCCCTTCTGTGGCCTTTAAGGATTTTGTTCAATGTTGGGAACCTTTTCCATTTTACACCTTGAACCTGTAATAGTAAAAAAGCAGTAATGATTGAACTCAGGAATGAAATTGTTAAACAACTATTTTTCAATATCTACGACTAAGAAAATAGTGGCGGTTGAAGAACGGAAAACTTTTATGATGCGGCTGTCTAAAACCCAAAAAACAAGTACTTCTTCGCAGACGTTATGTTCACAACAATATATTCTCTAAAATCTTACTATGTTTAGTTACCAAGAATACAAATCGAAAGTCTAGGATTCATATTGGTATTTAATTTTAGTCAGAGCAGATTGGCTGCAAAAGATATTCTTCGTAATTGACGGATTCCACAACGTCGACGCGGATGTTCCCCGGGTATCGCTCTTGGCTCCAACATTGCTCTACTTGCAGGAGTTCTATCAAAGAGCCGTTCATTTCGGCTGATCGGAGTCCAGATGCCGGAGGACTTGATCTGGCACGAACACATGTCGTCAATAGCTGCAGCAGTTTGTAAACGTCCTGATGTGTTTTTTTATATCTCACTCAGCTACCACAATAAGAAAAACTTGCGATAAAATCTTAATCAGTCATAAAATAGATCTTTGTTTTGTCTCCACATTGTAAAAACGTTTTACGCTTAACCTGTATGTAATAATGTAATGCTTATTCTAAGATTGTTAACAATCTGGCATTACCTTATCAATATTCAGCAAGTCAGAGTAAACATCTGCCCTCAAATTGGCAAAAGTTGTGATCGACTTGTGCCAAATAGGTTGAGCTTCGGACAAGATTGTCTTGAAATCCTGAGAGTCTGCTAAATGAGGTAGTTTATGGATTTCAGTAGGTCTGAAAATATAATTCATACATATAACAGAACGAAATATGTTTCAAAACAGGTTTTGGATCTCTATTGCCACTATGCCAATATTCAATTGCAATGGGTTTTGTAAAGCGTTTTCCAGTAAGGATAGATTAACGTTGAAATTAAATAAATCAAATGTACCGCCATCTTGAAATTTTCAACTATTATTTTTACGTTAAATTATTGTATTTATGCGACAATTTCATCAATCTAGAACTTTAGTTTGCTAACTTGAGCCATTCAAAAAATAAGTACGTAAGGAACTTTCTGAAAAGCAATTCATATTGTGTAATTGAATGTTCATCGACGTTTGGTGTAGGTAATCGTTAATACGTTTTCACTAGATCCAATACTGCCAACAGGCTTAACACAAAGGAGTCACTTGCTTATCAACTGTTTACCTCAATACACGTCAAAATAGTGTAAGCGCCTTTCAAATAAATATTTTCTCTATATCTCACACATCTTGTTTTTGTTTTGTTGCAACATCAACACATTTTTATTCGAAAACCGACAGTACTAATAGAATTTCCTACCTAATAATGAGACACCTCTTTTCACCCAACTTCCTGGCAAAATCCCTTGCTGCTTCCCAGGCTTTACTATCATTTCCAAGCCATAGAATCAATTTCTTATATTTTTCTAAACTAGGTAAAACGTATTGAGAGAGATTGTTAACTCCATTTGGTAGGCATACAATATTTGAACTGACTTTGGCATTCAAAAGAACAAGGAAGTCTGAAATGCTCGGCACTAATACTGCTGTATCTTTCAGTTTTGCTGCTTTACTGACGAGGATTCCCCCACACTTTATTGTCGGAAATATTTCATCTATTGTTCGGGTCGAGTTAATTTTCCTGTAACCAACCAGTTCAGCTTCTATGTTTTCTAAAGGGAAAAACATTTGAGTTTCCTTATCATTCAATCGTACGTCCAAGTTATCCGTCACTGATTTTGAAGTGACCTGAAAAAAAATGCGAGCAAACATAAACGAACATTGCCCAATTGCACAATGAACTCTTAATACTGGCAAATTCAGCTTGCGAGTTAAAAAAAATCTGACCGCTTGCTAGGAGATTGATGCGTGAGCAAGTGTTAAAAAGTGTGATCTTTAATGTAAAAAAATGGTTGAAGGAATACTTAAGCATCCTGCCAGGAAGCATGCTTATTTATTGTCTTACTGTAACTTGACGCGGACAGGTTGCTGTTAGGATTATAACTAAAACTGTCAAAAAGTCGATATTTGATTTGTTGAATGTCCATGTGTCAGAACTTTGACTAACTAAGGCCCGTAACGTCAGTCGTCCCTTACAATTGTAGGGCGCGTTTATGGCCTCCTTGATTGCCATACTCCTTTCTCTCCTTCAAAAATTTCTAGATTACACTTGTCCCGTGTGTGTTCTGACACACGGCGCCCTACAATTTTAGGGCGCCTTTATGGCCTCCTTGATTGTCATAGTTTTCTACTTCTCCGTGTCAGCGCTCTATTTTGAGGTTATGTCACAAACATCTATTTGCATCAAATTGTGCTTGCTTTTGAGTTATATCATGTTTTATCAGCCTGAAATTTCCTACAATTTAAAAAGAAAACATATCTTCACAATAGGAGAGCGGTGACGCTGACACGGGACAAGTGTAATCTAGAAATTTTTGGAGAGAAAGCAGTATGACAATCAAGGAGGCCATAAACGCGCCCTACAATTATAGGGACGACTGACGATGCGGACCTGAAACTAGGTAACATTACGAGGGCGGTCCGATAAGTACTTAGCCTACAAAACAAAAACAAAAATTATGGAAAAGTGCCGATTTATTTCTCAACATAGTCTATTTCTGGCTCGATACACTTGACCTAGCGATGCTCCAACTTCTTTAACCCGTCTGAAAAATACGTATTCTGGAGGTCTGCAAAGTAGGCCTCCGGCGATAAACTCTTATTCGACACAAATTTCTGCCCGGCAAGTGACTTTTTTAAATTTGGAAACAAAAAGTCGCACGGTGCCAAATATGGAGAATGCGGTATACGGGGCAGCAGCGTAGCCTAATTGACCAATTTGGCCGTGGCAACTGCGGAGATGTAAGCCGGTGCGTTGTCATAGTGGAAGAACAGTTTTTTCTTCGCCAAATGGTAGTTTGTTTCTACAATTCGGCGTCGAATCAGGCCCAATAACTCGGCATAGTTCAGCCTGGGACCGTTTTGCCCTTCTCCACGTAGTCGATGTAGATCACACCTTGTGAATCCCAGAAAACGGTGGCCATCACCTTTCCGGTCAATAGGATAGTCTTCGCCTTCTTCGGAGCACGTTCGCCGGGTCAAGTCCACAGCGTCAAACACTGCTCCGAAGTGGTCTCACGGTTGTGCTTGTCGTTCGGAGTGAGCAAACGTGGCACCCATCGCACAGACAGCTTTCTCATGCCCAATATTTCATGTAGGATATGATCCACGCCTACTGTCTCAGCTATCTCGCCTTCAATCGGTCACGTTATTCTTAGTTGTAGCTGTCTTAGGAGCACCTGGGCGCGGCTCTTCAAAAATCGACTTGCGACCAAGTTGAAACTCGTTAAACCAATTTTTGACGATCGCCATCGAAGGAGAAGAGTCACCGTACACAGTATCCGAACTGCTGCGCGATTTCCTTTCCAAAAACAAGAATCGAATCACCGACCGATATTGCTCTTTTTTCATTTTTCTAAAATCCGCAGACACGCCCGCTTCCACACGCGGTCAAAACATAAGTACAAGTCCGATTCGGCTGAAACTTCAACAGTAGACGTCTACGAGAATGTACTACACGATAGTAATTTTCTCTTGTGATAGTGGCGCCATCGGGCGATGAGTACTAAGTACATATCGGACCGCCCTCGTAAGTCGTTTTATGCTTCATCGCATTTCACATTAGTTCCTCAATAAGTATAAGATGTATTTTAAACTTCCACTCTTTCGACTGATGAGGTATCTTCAATCGTCTTCAGGTGAACAATTGAACTTACCTTAGCAATCGAAACGTCATGTTCTATACAATGGAAGTACGAAATAATCCTTTTGAAACATCCACCTTGTCTATTTGCAAACAAGTATAAGATTTTTTGCAAATGATTTATCTAACCTGTGGTATTATCGTCAAATGGCTGAACATATTTTCTTCTATCATTGCTGAGTACTCTCTCTAACAGTTGAGTTACCTTTCAGACTAAAAATCGCAATCAAAACCGCTTTCACCATTTCAGAGTTATGTTTCTTTAAGGGGGATACACATGCTCAGCTTAAAACTCCTAGCTCTTATGGTCGAGGTAACATTCCAGGATATGATCTCTCAAATAATTATATGAATGTATGTCTAGAATGTCTTACACATTTTACTACTGGGTGTTGAAATTAAAAAAATATATTAATATTTATTTATGAAAATACATACTTTGAATATTATTTTTAATTTAGACATATTATTAGAGAATGTAAAATGGCAATTTTAGCATAAAAAGTTATACTATTGTGCCACCAGTGACGTCTATTCAAACATCTTTTGAGATATTTTTTACAAATAAATTGGTATGTCACTCTTTTTTTTAATGTGAATTTTAGCAGGTACCATTTTTTCATATTAAATAAAAATGTTGCATCTGAGGAGACAATATTAAGAGAGGTTTTTCATGTAAATGAAAAAATATTTGCTTTGAAAAATATCAGTGACATACCAGTTTCTTTGTAAAAAATATCAATAAACATGTTAGGAGCGACGCCTCTTGTCAAGCAATAGAATACTTTTTACACTAAAATATGTCACTTCATATCCTCTTATAAAATTACAAAAATAAAAATAATATACACAGTAGTTTTGAAGAAATAAAATAGATCAATTTTAATCTGTAGCGCAAAATTTAAGCCATTGTGAACATACTTTTTTCATAAAATTATTTGACGAAAAATATCCTGGAGTACTAGCACATCATTAAAGAAAACTCTGTTGATGACAAAATATTTTTACCCTGTAACATGTCTTCCAACTAGGTAAAAAATTCAAAAAACTGCATTTTTGACGTCCTTTTGAATGACTTACAAAAGTGCTTCTTTTGTAATTAAAGGGATTGGAAAGCAGATAAGTGTTCCAAAAATGTCTTAAAATATGTTTACAATCTTAAGACAATATTACAGCTGCTGAATTCCATACAAAAAACATATTACCTACCTGTTCATGAATATTTAAGAACAAAACATTTGAACATACCATAATATATGAACCTACATCACTACACTTGCAAAAAAATGGTCTAAGCTGTACAACTGTTTTTTGTGATGTGTCAATTCACTTTTTAGAATAAGGAAGCTTTCAAAACACATATAATCTTAATACGAGGGATGTCTTTTAAGTTTTTCATATGGAAATAAAACAACATGGTAGGTAGTTTTAGATGACTTTATTGTCTTTGGAAGTTTCGAACCAATTTTCGAAGCACTTATTCCACTCGTTTGCTGGCAGATCCAAAACGGCATTTTTGAATGCGTCAACTGCTTCTTCTGGTGACTGGAACCTTTGACCACGCAGTCTGTTTTTAATTTTCTGGAAAGTAAAGAAATCGTTAGGACTTAGATCGGGACTATATGGAGGATGGTCCAATAATTCCACGTTTTCTTCCGTTAAATACTGCCTTGTTTTTTGGGCTGTGTGCGAGCTTGCATTGTCTTGCCCGAGGATGATTCTTCTTTCGGTGTTGATTTTTCGAAGCTCGGTGATGACTTTTGGCAAACAAATGGTGGTGTACCAATCCGCAGTAACAGTTCTTTGCTCATTAAGAGGAATTGTTGCTATATGACCCGCTTTTGACACAAATGTCGCGACCACCTTTTTCGAAACACTTCGAGAACAGATCACTTTTGTTGGCTTTTCTTCACCTTGGAACACCCAGACAGCCGACTGTCGTTTATTTTCTGGTTCGTAACAGTAAATCCACGATTCATCACCACTAACAATGCTGTACACATTTTTTGAGTTTCCGGAATTGAAACGGTCAAGCGTTTTTTGACACCAATTAACCCCGGCTGCTTTCTGCTCTTCAGTCAACAGGTGGGATATCCAATGAGAAACTAATTTTCTTACTCCTAATTCTTCATGTAAAATTTTTTGAACTTGAGGTCTTTGAGATCTTCAAGGATGCCTCAATCTTTCGATATGTCACATGTCTATCTTCAATGATGAGTTTGCGCACAGCATAGACGTTTTCCTCGGTGACTGCCGTTTTTGGTGCACCCACCCTGGAATCGTCGCTAAGACTCACCCGTCCACGTTTGAATTCTCTATACCAACGGGAAAATGTTGACTGATGTGGCTCTTCGTTGCCGAAAACAGACAGTAACACAGCAAGGCATTCTTGTTGCTTTAACTGTCTCTGAAAGTTGTAATAAATTATAGCGCGAAAATCTTCTCGGTTGAGTTCCATTTTTCTAATGACTTGGTGACACATAAAAATTCACTGTAGTGAGAACACTGCACGTATCGTTCTGAAACTTTGATTTTAAGTTTACTAAAGAGTGAGGTTAAGATTCAGTACTGACGTTCGATCCGCGCGGCCTACTATGTTTCTATGTGCAAAACTTAAAAGACATCCCTCGTATCACTAAGCTAGCTGAAATAATCTAAGTACCCAGCCTTCAAATTTGACTGAGTACCTGGTACTTGACAGTTCGAAAAAAGTAGTACCTGGTGCATCCCTGCCCATTATCTGAACCCATTTCATAAGTGGCTGAGGGTAGTAGTTTCAAAATGATATTTAGTTTAACAACTTCTGATGGCCATTCACTTCAACCTCCTAATAGATTCAGATACTGCTTTTAACCCATGTTAAAATGCCAAAGCTTCTTACCAATGTTTTACAACATTGAAATTGACAGTCTACTAGTTTGAAAGTTGAGTTCAACTTTAAATTTCAGGCAAGATGTTGCTATGTTCACTTCATTAAAATCAGACTATCATTTGTTCAGGTGTGAAGAGACTTTTTTTGGTAGTACAGTGAACTCCGGTTATAACCTACCCTATAGGGAGGAAAAATTAGTACATACATTATAACCGGAGGTATTTAATATAAAAAAGATATAGTAATATGAATATGTAACATATAACATTGAAATAGAAAATAATCAAATTAAATATGTACAATTACATATGTGATTACGCATACAGTTATGATTTTTCGAAAAAATAACTTGTTGTTTTTGTTTGTTGATTTTTCACAGACTTTTATATTCTCGATGTGCTTCTCAACTTTTAACGAGGCTTGTAAAATTGTATGATCCGATCCATAATCAGTAAATTAGAAGAAATTTGTAACAGTTTTAATTGCACAAAGTGCTTCAGAATAACTTGGAATTGGTTCGTTCACTTGTCCATCATCATAGCCGCTTTCGATATCGGAACGATCATTCGTTGAATAGTTTGACTCTACAACTTCAGCAATAAGTCACAATCCGTTAAGGTCTCCGTTGCTTCCAAATTATCTTCGATGGTCGTAAAATTATCTAGTTCAGGAAGATATTTTTCCACAGTAGTTTGGTCTGGGCAGTGACTTCCAACCAATCACTTATGGGGACGTTCCAATCATCATCATCAAGAACGTACCACTGATTCAGAGGCAAGTCATCATCTGAACCAAACTCGTCGATCGATTTCACTAGACCAGCATGTTGAAAGCAGTTTACAATAGTGTTTTTTAAAACTTCATTCCATGATTGTGCAATTAATTTTATCGAGTTTAAAATTATTATGTTAAAAGTTTCCTCATTATCCAATGCTCGGATTATACATAAAATATCTATGATAATATGTGTTAAGGCATTTTATAATGCCTGGATCCATCAGTTGTACGACCGAGATGCAATTGGGAGGCAAAAATTCTAGTCTGACATTTGTCAGATCTACATTCTTAGGATGAGCTGCACAACTGTCAACTAGAAGCAATATTTTTCTTCTTTGACGTTTTAGTTTTTCATCTCACTCCTTTAAATAATAAATAAAAATGTCCGAAGTCATCCATGCGCGTCTCTCTGATTTATAAATGGATAGGCAAGTTTTTAATATTTTTTATGCACCTTAGTTGTTGGTATTTACCAATAACAAGAATTTACATTTTTCACTACCCGTCATATTTGCGCAAACCAAAACGTTGTATATCAGCTTTGATTGTTTGCATCCCACCGTTTATTCCCTTGGATAAATCTTACGAGTTTGCTTTTAAAATTGGGCCACTTTTTATATTCACTTGGTTGCTTGATCTTTTCACGATTGCACCAGATTGTAGTAACTGTTGTTTTTGCCATATTTTTCCTTGTCGCAATTTCCGATTTGCCGATGCTACTCTGGATACTTTTAATGCTGTCTATATTTGCTTTCAAACATATAGCTTTGCGTGTATCTGTCATTTCAACAAAACAATAAATACACAAAATTCGCACAGCTAAATGCAACGTCCAATCTAAAACTACCTGACCTGTCATGTCAGGCCAATGCCGTGGAACTTCCAAGTATCGATTAATGGGAATCCAAGACAGAGCCGGAAAATTACTCTGTTTATAACGTACGTTTATAGGTTATAAGCAGAATATGACTACTAAGTGGGAAAAAATATTGAACGTTACAGCTGGAGTTAATTAGTACTCTATACCCAGTAAAATTGCAAGACGATTTGAGCGGGTCCAATGAAATAAGTACATAATAACCGGAAGTATGTTATATCCCATGTACGTAATACATAGGCTGAGTACACTGTATAACCTATTCCTATACCAAATTTTAGCATGCTGAGTTTTTCTCTCTTCAAAGTCCCTAGACCTAGACTAGTAAACCTAAATCTACTTACTGGTAATTTAAACTTTTTCAATACTGAATTGAGACTTTCTTCTTCAAGCAACCTCAACAACCTAGTATTACTGGCAACATCCTCTAGGGTCTTTTTAATGCTCTCCTCGATTTCCTCTACACTTTCTGCTGGTGCTTTTTTTGCTCTGATTTTTTTGTTGCCTAGCATAGCTTCCAAAGTCTGCCACTGTCCAGTCATTTTACAGCCACTGCACATGAACATACCTGAACAAATTCCACTCACATTGTTTAATACTTTTAAGATGCATTCTAAATGATTTACCTGTAGTTTTATTAATATATATCCTGGCTACCTTTGGTTTTCTAGTACACAAATTACATGACATTATAAAACAAGTATGTCCTTCTTCAAAACTCGTGTGGTTCCTTAAAGTTTTCTTTATCGACACAGAGGATACCTCTGGAATACTCTCTACTGCGATATCGTTCATATTTCTTTTGAATTTCCTGTAGCTCCATGTCTGCAAGCTAGACATTTTTAAAAATCTGAAACCGAGCATTTCAAATCATAATAATAATCACCGACAATCTTTAAAGACAGTTGGCTTAGAAATAAATGAAGAAGTGGGGTTATGAAATCGTAAACAAAAGCGAACACATGTCACGATAAACATAACCGACAAACCTTGCGCAAGGAAAGTGGGCATTGCAGAGAATATCCGTATTTTCTAAAATTCAAAAACGCTCGGATGTGTCTGCACCTGTAGGATAATAAAACTAAATCAAGTATTGTTTTCTATAAAACCATCAGACATACAAATTTCTCATCCAAGATGGTATTTTGTAAACTGAATTGCAGATTAATCTGAACTTACAGATTTCAAATTTCCCGCTGTGATCGATAGTGGTGTAAAGACTAAAGACAAATGTGCACGACATGTAAACGTAAACCAAAATTTATTTCTTATCATAGATTAGAGTAGAAATCTTTCGTAGTATACATAAGCAACATTATGAAATATTTGCTAGCATTTCTTTTTATACTTAGTACAGTGCCTACTTTCTCAAAAGCCGATTTTAAGCAACCCACAATTTTAATATCCATTTTAGCTAGGAATAAGGCTCACACACTGCCATATTTCCTTTCCAATTTGGAAAGGCAGAATTATCCCAAGGATCGCATATCTCTTTGGTAAGTTCAAATTTCAAGTATTAATAAAAAACATTTTTAGTGGAAGGTGTTTCCTCATTGCTATGTTGCCAGATGATTCGTGTCTTTCGACATTCGTCATCAACTTCCATGACTATAAACCTCCAAAAATGCATAAATATGTTTTGTCAGGCTTAGTTATCTTGTTAGACAGACACAATCATTTTCCAGACCGCATGTCCGCATTAATCAGTCATTTTTAGAAAGAAAGTATACATTTCGCTGAATTCTGAGGCGATTCCCCTAAATTGGCAACTCTCGTGGTTGTGTTGGCAGGAGATCACCTTGCAACGTTGTCAAAAGCTTTAATTCCTAAAGCCGATTTTACACACGTGCATTTAGACACCACAATTACGTAACTTAAAAAGTGACATACCGATTTTTCGTCACGTTATTTGGTTTCTTCAACTTTTAAATCAAATCCAAGCGAATAACCAAAATTTCTGTGTTATGTGCCGCGGTTATAATATGGTTCAAGATGACACACGGGTTGATGACGTCAGTTACACGAATCGCTTGAACGCGTTGGTTTTAACCGCGGTTTTGTTACAAGTACAACTGTTGTTTATTTTAGAAAAGCGCGTATATAATCTCTGATTATTTTTATTATCACTTAATAATCGGTGCTTTTTCGTCTACAACTGTATATGGAAAGTTTAAATAAGAAACCTTTCATAATATTCATGGGAGAAATGTTTTTTTCAGATTTTTTTTAATAATGGAACCATGGCTTTGTAGCTATGATAACTTTCAATTCTCTAAATTTTTCCGCATGTCAAAGAAAACATTTATTGATTCAGCAGAAATGATGAAAAAAGAAATTAGCAAAACCGTATACAGGTGGATATCATCTAGTGAGTTTATATGGCCATATTTTAATATTCTTGTGGTATATGGCTACACAGGATACTTTGTTAAGCATAGGAACTACATTTAAAGTGTCCCCAACAACCGTAATGAGTATAACTAATAAGGTGCTCCACTTTATGGTAAAACTGAAGTCAGCCTGTATCATTTTTCTCAAAAATGAAGCTGAAGTACAATAACAATATCCAATACCCGGCAAAATTCTAACTTGTCACATTTGAAATAATAACCAGAAATATAAAACTACTCTCGAGTTGTGTTAACCCCTTATTGCATCCTGAGTCATATATGATACATACCAATATTAATATTTTTTTGAAGCTCTAGAATTTAAAGAGCGAATAACTGCATAGTGTCGCATATTTGGGACCGAGGAATAACCACGTTAAAATAATGCCGACGCTCCTCCGACAAAAAATATGACCTTGGAGCGGTTTGCAAGTTTACACTCGCACTTTTCGTGGTACAGTCGACATCTCCGATTTTATGAAGCATTTTTGTTGGGTGAAACGTAGGTTTTGGTGATAGAAAAAAATAGCTGTCCACAGTTTATTTGTTACTTGTGCGTTTCAAGGTAAGTTTAGGCAATAATTTCAATTTTTGCAGAGGTTACATACAAAAATTGTTTTGATTCATATATGGGACATCATGCGATTATAACGAGTGATAAGAGTCATCTTGATTCCAGATGGATCCAAAAATATTTTATGGAAGCAGTAAATATGTTACGAATGTACCGGAAAACAATGAAAGTGATGATCCCGATTTGTCAGACGATGAAGACACAAATAATCCAATAATTAATGATAATATATTAGCATTTGACAGCGACGACAACAGTGAGCCTGAAGGAGATTATGATGAGACAGTCATTTCTGAAACAGATGTAGAATCTGACGATAGTGAAAATATGACTCTACACGAAATTGCAGAGAAGATGAATCCAAGCGCCTGGAGAACTGGAAATCTCGTGAAAGATCCAAAGGATCTAGAATTTACAGGCAATATGAATATGCCTCCAGAAGTTACTGACTTAGAAACGCCATTACAATTCTTCAAGTTCTTCTTGACTAAGGAAATCATATCAGCAATAACTATCGAATCAAATTTATATTGCTCACAAAAGCGAATAAACCGTCCTTTGAACCTCACAGATGATGAATTAGAGCGGTTTATTGGCATATGTTTATATATGTCTATTATACAACTACCCCAAGCTAGAAACTATTGGTCGCCACATTTAGGTCATCATAAGGTATCAGCAGTTATGACATGTAACAGGTGGGAAGAAATCAAAAGATTTATTCATTTCAACAATAACGATAATTTCATACCTCGTGGTACACCTGGACATGATAAATTATTCAAAATAAGACCTTTTCTAGACAGTTTACAAGAAAGACTAAATAAAATTCCAGTTGAAGAGAACGTTGCGGTAGACGAACAAATTATTCCAACTAAAGCCAGATCAACAATAAAACAATACAATCCGAAAAAGCCACACAAGTGGGGCTATAAAGTATTTGTTTTGAGTGGAATCTCCGGCTTTAGTTACAGCTTCGACATTTTTGCTGGATCTCAGAGCAACGTAGTTCCTGTTGATGTCCCTGATTTAGGAACAAGCAGTAATGTGGTGCTAAAACTTGCCCAAAGAGTCCCTAAGCATATGAACCATAAAATATTTTTCGATAATTGGTTCACCAGTGTCCCACTTGTGGTTTACTTGAGCAAAAATGGCATTCTTCCTCTTGGTACTGCGCGCTTGAATCGAATTCCAGGTTGTAAAATGCTATCGGAAAAGGAATTCAAGAAACTTGGAAGAGGATCTTGGCAAGAAAAAACTGCTATCAAAGATGATGTGAAATTAAGTACTGTTTGCTGGTATGACAACAAAATTGTCACAACTCTGTCATCTTATGTCGGCTCGCAACCAATTGGAAGTAAGCAAAGGTTTTTTAGAAGCGAGAAATGCTACAAAGAAGTGCAATGTCCGCAAACAATCCTAAAATATAATGAATACATGTGAGGCGTAGACCTATTGGATTCTATGCTTGGTTATTATCGCATCAAAATTAGATCCAAGAAATGGTATCTCCGCATTTTCTTTCATTTTATAGATATGTGCGTTGTGAATAGTTGGCTTTTATGGAGGACGCAGAACGAGTTTTATATGCCACTTGCAGATTTTAAGGTAGCTATTGCGGATGCTTTATGTATCAGTGGAAAATCTGTATTGAGTAGAAAACGTGGGCGACCTAGCGCCAATCTTGAACATGCTTATTTGGAAAAGACTAAACGTGGACCTGCGGCTGAAATTCCTCAAATTGAAGTAAGAAAGGACGGAATAGATCATTTGCCGGAATGGAGAGAAAATGAAAGAAATCGATGCAAACATCCAGACTGCAAATACCAATCATATATTTATTGTGTAAAATGTCAACTACCGCTCTGCCTAAATAAAGATAGAAATTGTTACCTAAGATTTCACACCGAGTAACTACATAAGACTGGTTGTTAGTGCATAGAGTCCCATATATGATACATACCCCTTTTTTGTAAATTTTTCAATAAAAACTTAATAAATATTTTTTTAATTATTTTTCATCTAACTTGTGCAGACTGATCTACCTCATATATTTTTTCCATTGAAAATAAAAAAATCATGCAATAAGGGGTTAATACCACAATTTTGCGGTGATAACTATGACATATAACAGCTGATTCGTGACGTCACGGATCTTATAACCAAACTGATAACTACACTCGCTTGAACGGATTGGTAAATACCAACCCAAAATGGTAAATACCATTTCCATTTGGTTATCCGCTTGAATTTGATTATTATGTAGGTTTTTCTATAAAATGTCACCTTTGAACTTGACATTCACTTCATAGATGCAGTAGGTGCGGATTGAACTAGCGGCTACCTAGTACACAAGTTGACATTACATAGATTTTTTCACGTAATAGCTTTGCCGAAAACGGTTAAATCCATAATTTATTATTTGGATCTGGAGCTAGTGTATCAATTCACTTTTTGCTATATATCATTGGAGCGTGAAGATGAAGATAATTCCATAACGTGTTAAAACTTGTCATTTTTATACTATGGTATACCGTGGGTTTTCGCCGCCCAGGACCGACCGAAAATTTGCCGTCCTGCTTTATTTTAATTATCAATCTAGACAATTAGTAAAAGTTAAATAAAGCATATTGAAGTTCTTTAATTCATTAGAAATGTCCTTTTCATGTTTTTTACTCCTTAATTAAATTTGCTTTTTTCATCAAAAAGTATAGAAAACGTTTATGACATTAAAGTTTTAGTCTAAAGCACAAGATTGTGGTTTCAGCAGGCTAATACGAATTTTACGTACTACTGGAGAGCATTAATCATTCGGACAACATATAAACATCACATGAATGCAGATTGGGCGAGAGCGCAGTTTAATCAAGTTCTACCGTCACATTCTTTTAGGATACGGAGTGACCACAATTCAGATAATACCATAGATATTTTGAAAGTATGGATTTCGTCTGTGAAGCACAAATACCATTCAGTAAATACAGAATTCATAGATGACGAGAAGAGTTACCCAGATGAAATGGGACCAGGACACTGGACTCCTCAGCGTTTCAAACAGATAATTTATTTGAGAGAGGCTGCCCTAGAACATGGTAGAAAAATATGGGCCGATTATTTACTGGTGAGACATCAATTCGAATTTTATACATTGTACATACAGAGACTTTGGGACCTTTCGATCAAAGGCTTATATTAACGGTCCATTTCTAGGCTTAATTGACATCTAATAATTCAGTATTAATTCGTATTTCAACGGTTATCCAAAAACTACGTAAGATACATAAACTCGGTATTAAAGAACAAGATCGATATCGTATAATCATTATAAGTGTTAACATATGTGATAAACTTTTTGCTAAACTATTCATTTCCGCTAGTGAGACGCGTGGCAATTTGAATGATATGTTTCTAAATGAAGAAATACATTCATAAGTATTTTACGTGTGACAGTCCTTCATAAAATCTTCTGATTTCTGGTCCAATCAAAGTAATTTCTCTTACTCTCGATTATGCATTTTCTCAACTGGAATAAAAGAAAAATGAACACCAGCGTGTTTGAATGGGCGAATATCCATTTTATTTACATACCAGTAAGATGAATCAGATGCTGCAAATATTCAGCAGAAACATTTTTCAGGCTATCGACTGTGACGTTTTCTTAACTAATCCAGATACGCTACCATACCTTGTATCAAGAAACTACACTGTAGTTGCCCCTATGTTGAAATCTGAGGCTTTATACTCCAACTTCTGGTATGGCATGACTGAAGACTATTACTACCAAAGAACTGATGAGTACAAGCTCGTTCTGCATAGAGAGACTGTAGGTTGTTATAGCGTACCCATGATACATTCTTGTGTTCTGATAGACTTAAGGAAAGAGGAATCTGATTTTCTCACCTATGATCCTAACAATATCAAAAACTTTGAAGGCCCTACAGATGATATTATTTCCTTCGCTGTGTCTGCTAACAGAAGTGGATTTGAGCTGAAACTTTGTAATGAGGAGGAATTTGGATATATAATGGTAAGTTTGTAATAAATGTGGTCTCATGAAATAGTCAAAACGCTGGTAGCGAGATTTCAAGTGCGGAAAGACATCTTGTGAAAAACCAGCATTGCGGTAGTTCACTTGTAACGATGACGACTGCATAATAATTCCAGTCATACCTCCTGCATTCTTTTACACCAACCAGCCTTTGAACAGGAAGATCACCCACCGTGCTGCCAGACCTACCTTCCAGTAATTTTAGGCAGTTATCAAAATAAAAGACCATTAGGAGGAAATAGAAATTAAATAATCAACTAGTGATATATGTCATAGAGGAGTGGTTTTTTAGCATTCAGGCTAAATGTTTACCATGAAGCTATTGAAATGCTGGAACACCGATTAAACAAGTCTGTTGATGTTAGTAGGGATGATGTAGGAAAATAAAAAAAAAACATCAACTGTAGCTTTATTACAAGGTTGGGGTGGATGATAGAATCATACACCCGCGGATATTATGTTTGTAATAACTATATTTTGTATAATTTTTTTCTAATAGATTCCTCTAGATGAAGACAATTCCATAGAACTTGACTATGAACGACTAGTCAATACCAAAATGGCAGTACTTCATGAGTATGAACCCTTATTTGTCAATTCTATCTTAAAACCATATGTGAGACCTCTTCCAAAAAAGGATACATTGGTGTTTGACAAGATATATATGATAAACTTGAAAAGGCGTCATGAGAGGAGAAAAAGGATGCTAACCTGCTTCGACGAATTAGGTTTAGAAGTTGATTTAGTCGATGCTGTTGATGGACAGTAAGTTGATATCTATTTTAGTATACAAAATTAACGTAATATCCCTTAATGGACCGCAGCTTGTTTCCGCCGCCGTGTGTTGACATTATCGCATGGATACTAACACTAGACTATTTGGAAATTAGCAAACTAGTGTCACGTCATAGCGCTGATAATTTCATTTTATTTTATTTCGATTCGGCATGATTTTTAATAATAAACATATCAAAAACGATTACTTAGTAATAGGATGCTATACAATGAGTCCCACTGTCCCACTATAAATAGATAGACCCTCTCAAACTGTTTTGAATGACTTTTCAGAAAAGTTTATATGTTCTAGTATAAAGTTTGTCATGCTATACCTTTTTGAATTGTTACAAGACTATGCTATTTAATGAAGTAATTTAGTAATCATGCTGACTGGCGAGAAAGTATTGTACGTGAAAAATTTGGAAAATGGGATTTTTTTTGATATTACCTGTACACCTACATCACGAAATGTTATGACATTCATACCCGCCGGTTTGATGCGCTAATCCTTGGTGTCTCTATAACTTGGAAAGTACGCCCGGATTTTGATAAAATTTTGACACAAGGTTCTACTATGATAAGAACAGAAAAGCTTTATAGCTTTTGAAAAACCTGAAATTATATACCAAAATGAAGCTAGAAAGGATTACTTGAAGTCTTTAAATATGCATTAGAATTTTTTGAGAAAGAGAACACTGTGCGTTTGTAAAATTTTAAATGACAAGAAACTACGGTTATGTAGCCCATTTTGTGGAAGACGTTGTTACTCTATCTGCAAAGGTGGCCGAGTTAAAAGCTGTCATAGTCGAGTATTTTTTCGAATATCTCGCAGTACCAGAAGTGGCGATCCTAACCTTATCAAATTTCTTGCTTGGGAAAGGCCTTTCAAAAAATACTAAAATATGCATGATACTATGTTTGTGTTGCCACGTAGTTATAAATCATCCTGTAGAGTGCAGAATATTTTTCTAGTAAGGAGCGTATATTTGTCTGTATTTTTGAAAACAAATTCAGGTATCTCTTATGACACACTAAAAGCTCACTCTGTATTCCGCTTGAAAATGATTAATGTTAGCTACCAACGTTCGCGGCGCTTGGGATCGAGGTTCCATGTAACGATGTAACGCGCTTTAGCGATATTACAGAATCGTAACATTAACTTTTCTCTATGAGGGGATAATTTTTGTCGAACATAATCTTCTCTGAAATGATGATTGCGTTGCGTGTGAAATGCAGAGTCAGAGGTACTTGATCATTGTGGAATACCCTGAATATTTTTTTCATTATATGTGGTTCGTTACACTCATTTTAACTACTCAAATCAAACACTTCCAAAGTTCTATACCAAAAATGATGGAGATGGATCACTTTATAGCACGGCATCCTATACTGTAGTATGTATTTCAAGTCCTTGATAACTTCCAAAAATTATCTAACATATTTAGACTTTTCGAAAACTCAATGTCCGCAGTTCGTAATGGAACCCCGTCTACATACCTATCTACCAACTTTTATATATTTATCCTTAAAATGGGCTTCAATATGTCAACAACAAGCAGGCGAAATTTTATTTTAATAAAGATGTTACGAATTTTAGGGCCCTCAACGAGAGCTTTTTGGGAAAAATTCTATTTTTACCGGGATTTGAAGATCCCTATCATAAAAGGTATGTATATGAGAAGCAAACTTTGTATATCTTTAAAGCAAGTGTAATTACACCAGAGAAGTCTTAACATGGATATAATATTTTTTAAATATGTCAGCATCTAAGGCGGATTCGCGTTCTCCAAAAAACGGATATCGTTTTCAAGTCGCTAGGGCAATACATTTACATTGTTTTCGATTTGCCTAAAAAGTCATACTTGCATAGTCGCAGCGTTATGCATTTACAGTAAAGAGATTTCATCCTCGTCAACCTACTTTTAACATGTCCATGTATTTTAAAAATGAATTTAAAACATTTGAATCAATGTTTTCAGGCCCATGAAGCTAGGAGAAATTGGATGTTTCCTAAGTCACTACAATATCTGGAGAGATGTATGATCTTATTATTTTTTTTACTGTTTTATTCTAAGCTATGTATTTTAGGTGGTTCATAATAAATATAGTAGTGTTCTAATATTAGAGGATGACATCAGATTCGAACCATTTTTCAGAACGAGAGTAAAGGCTCTGATGAATGAAGTTAACAAAATGCCCAGCTGGGACTTGGTGTAAGTAAAAACTATTTGTTATCAGTCTCCAGTTACTGTTGGAACATTATATCCTTGAGTACGGTTTTATTTTTCTTAACGATATTCATGTATATGTTTTGTTTTCTGGTTTCAGTAATATTTCAGACTTTTTTAGACTCGATCTGAGTAGCAATCAATATCCGAATTATTTATTTCTATTCAATAAAGTATTTGGATGCTATAATTACCTATTTGTTTTTGAAAATAGGTGCATCCGAGTTATTTGCTTATTAGAAGGTCTGATATTTGATAAGTGGTATGCTACCTGTAGTTTAAAAAAACTTAACTTGTTTGCAAATAAAATGAAAAATAACAAACATTCACAAAACTGTAATAGTAAAGTTGAAGTATAATGAGAAGGGTGTAGATTCTTCATATCAAGTCAGGTATCGAATAGATGTACAAAAGTGCAAATTTTGTGCAATATTTGGTTAACATGTTTTTCGTAGATATTACGGAAGAAAGATATTGCAAGACGATGAAAAATGGGTTGATGGTACAAACTACCTCGTAGAAGCTGGCTACTCATATTGGACATTGGGCTATGTGCTGAACTATAATGGGGCTAATAAACTCCTGGATGCTGATCCTTTATCGCGTCTCGTACCTGTTGACGAATATTTGCCAATTCTGTTCGACAAACACCCGCAGGTGAATTATCTTTAGATGACTTATAGGATGGAATGTTGCATTTTTTTATTTCTGCTGGCTTTGTATATCTTGTTTAATACGTGATTAGATTTGACACTACTACACGTCACGCACAGTGTCAAAATCTCCCCAAATATTAATGTTGAATACTACAGAATAGTCAAATTTAGGTATTCTTGTGTCACTTTACTGTATATCTCAAACCGGACATTAATTATAGTCTTATACATAATTAAATCACGTTTTCTTTGCAGGAAGACTGGAAGAAGCATTATCCTAAGAGAAACCTAGTTGCTTTATCCGCAGCACCACTGTTGCTCTACCCTACGCACTACACCGGAGAGAAAGGTTACATCAGTGATACTGAAGATTCTGTTGTTATTGAGGAGGTATTACATACCCCCAAAGAAGATTTGTAGTAAGGTTTTCAGGGGTAATGGGGCCAGGATCTGATCTTTGATATTTTATATAAACGTACATAATTTTCTTAGTGCCATTTGATTATTATTTATGAGCAATCATTTCATTTTGTGCCATATGCGAGGTGAGGTCTCTTATAAGTATGAGCGTTTTTATTTTTCCGAGTGATAAACTTTTTATATAATCTGTGTATATATCTTGAATAAAGGTTTTGCAAAGTAAATGTTTCTTTTATACAATTAATCAAAAAATGAAAGAGTCTGTATTTCCGATGTCTGTTGTAGCATCATTTGCAGGAGCAGGGCTACAGTTGCTATTGATATGCAATGCATTGCTATGAAAGAGCACGGATTCATCACTTTAAGTTTAACAGAAACTGAAAAAAATCTACATTTCTCAGAAACTATATTTCAAAGATTATTTATTATAAGTTTAATACGGCGTAACAATAATTATATTTGAATCCAGTGAAACATCAAAATCTTCACTCGAGCACCTTCATTTAAAGCAAATATTTTGAAGGACGCAGTGTTGCTTTCAAAATTTGGTGAACCACGTTAGAGTCTTCGTTTTGCTATAAATACTAACCAGAGGCGGCACTACAACTCGTATCACGTGGTGTGATACAAACGCTGCTAATTATTACGTTAGAGAGAATGTAGTTTTTTTCCTGTATTTTGAATAGAATAGTATTTTACTACATATCAACGTTATAGATACCTATGTAACTTTCATATATATACATTGTACGTATGTACATCAACAAACCAGAATATCTAGATTTTAGAGGGAACATAAATGTGATAAGCTGTCATCCATGATGTTATACAGAAAGTCCCCTCGCCAAGAGATACAAATAGTTTTACTAGCTAACTTTTTTATTAAACGTCAAAGCTGGAAAAACAGTTATTTGCATATATTCGAATAGTTATGAATTATTGCAATAAGTGATCGAAAAGCGTTTATTAGAAATGAAAATACCTTCAAAATAAGACCTTACTGGCACAGGTGTTACCTATCTTGAAAAGTGCCGTTAGGTCGGTTTTCTTTTTTGACATAACCTAGATTTTTGTTTAACATAACGTAGGTTTTTCTACAAGATGTAAACTTAGCACTAGCTGATGGACACTTGTTGTGAACTCGTTTTGTAGTTGTACGTGTTGCCGAAACGTTATGATGCTTCAGTTATCAATGTGATGTGATGTAACGTCTGCTTCAGAGATGACATTATTGGAGGTCTAAGCAGCAGGTTGTATACTACAACTGGAAGAAAACGGCAGTGCATAGTGAGGATGTGTTTGCTAATGATATGTGTTGATCATAATTCCATTATTGGTTTCTTGTCTCAAATGCACTTACTTGAAATTCAAAGCTACAAATTAGTTGCACATATCCACTTTCTCTTATTCACTCTGGAAATTACATAATATGCAATTTGCTGAAGTTCAAAAATGAATGAGAGGGATACGAAAAGAAAATCGCTGGTTAATGAAGTAACAGGTGAGAAACTATCCTACAGACAGGAATATTTATGAAAGTAAAAAGGTTATTACATTATTTTTTATTTCCAGTCAATTAAATTTTATAGACATTTATTTTGCGATGTCAGTAGAAAATGATAATCAGCGCCTGATGTCAGGCACTGCGAAAAATGTTTGAAGTGTGATGCGGCATTCCCAATTTCTCTGCGATGTGGCTTAATTGCACACAAAGCGATCGCGGTGGCGATTTTCCGTAATGCTCCTCATGGTTTTTGAAAATTAGAAAAACAGAAAAAATCGTAATTTATAACTTTGAATATAACCTGTCTTCATAAAGGATAACATATAGTCTTTTTCACGAGTATCCATATAATAGTAATATTCAAAATTCCCCATATCAGCAAAGGACATATAATTCTGACGGATCCGTCAATGCAGGTAGATAGAGCTATATTTTGTTTTGACTTTTTGTACGATACAGATCCATTTTGTTCTTGCTAAAAGCTATTTTATTTAGAAAAAGGCTACATACACGTTTCACTAGATGTACACCCTATTCATCATTGCCGACGCAGACTAACACAAAAATGTCACTTGCTGATCAGCTGTTCACCTCAGTAGACGTCAAAGCGTGATGAATACTCGTGAAATGGTATATAAATAACCTATGGGGCACAGCTAATAAATATACCTACTTCATTGGCAGCATATTCAATAATAATTTTCTCACATAGCAAATATCACTGATTTTATACACATGCAGACCATTACACAATCATCCAGTTGCGATCTTGCTACTCAACCAAATTTCTTTCTTTCACATCTTCTCAGAGATAAACAATACGAGTACAGACTACTCGGCTTCACACAACATATACTTGCTTTCTACAACCAAAAATTGATGTAGTTCAGTCATTCCTCCATAGATGGACGATCATAGTGAGCAAACGAGAAATGAACTACTTGCAAAATAAAAGCTACCTAACCTGAAAGATGACATTTCTTTGTTTTTTTTTTGACGTTTTATAGGTTTTTACATAATAGCCGTGTCGGAAAATTTTCCGCAAGGGTTAATTTATCACAAAAGATCGCCAGAAATCGTCGATTTCTACATTTATTTTTTACTGGAAAATGTATAACGGTAAATCTGAAATAATAGTCAAAATTTGATGCATTTGTGGTACTCAATATCCAGAAGGAAATCAATTCAAAAATTCTCAACCGTTACCGCAATTTTCATATTATTAATATTTATTTCAGAATAATGGCTACTGGTTTTCTTGTTAGGGACTTGTTTAATATCTTATTAGAAAAGATATGTACGAGATTTTCTTATACTAACCATGTAAAAAAGCGTCACCAAGAGTACATCTGTTATAAATAAACAATTTGGATAAATCCCTTGTATTTTGACGCTTTTAATTATTACGCTTACCACTGATGCTATGATGAATACGCAGTTTGAATGTAGGTGCCTATTGATATGTCCTCATTCTCATTCCTCAAGAATATAATTCGGTTATAAAACAGCTTCCCCTCCAAATTTTGATCAGCGAACCAATTTACTTCAATAACAAAGTAAGTCCGTTTATTTGTAACTCTAAAGAAGCGTTAGTTTGAAAAGGTACAGACGAATTTTCACTGATTAAGTGTAAGTTATTTAGAACCTTTCAACTTGTCTATTGTCAATCTTTTAAAAGTGATAACTTTGTACAGGCAATGTATTCAGATGTAATGATAAACTTCATTAAATTGTATTGGCAGAGCATCAAAATATAAATAAAACATTCTATATCATACTAAAATTATGTAAAATCTATGACACAAAAAATAATGTTAACATTTATCACCGAGTGATGTCATGAGAAAAGGTGCACAAAAGTTCAGAGTCAATACCTTTCTGGTCCTATAAAATGTTGGCTAAGTAGGCTAGTGTGCAAATAGTTCATTCCCTGCTTGCTACAAGTGGGCATGAAGTAAACGATAGCTAGTTACAAGTTGATGTCTTGTTGGAAAACCTACATAATGTCATAAAAACCCTACATAACGTCAAAAAAGCCATGGCATATTGTCGCTTGTACAGTTACGTAATACCGTTGCCGGTATGGGTACAATGTGCACCAGCCTTAAGCAAGAACGCATGGCAACACTGTACCGCGTACTACGTACGTCACTGTCAGTTAGCATGTCAACTGTCTTTTAGTTTTCTATTCATGGAAACATTATTCTAATCGGCCGACCGCCATTAGTTGACGCCATCAGTCTATTACTATCTGTTTTGGTATACAATGGGCGCTTCATATAACCACAGTATGTCCAGCAGTAAAATTTTCATTGTAAGTCATATTATTCAGTTTTTCATCTAATGGATTTGTATTATAAAATCAATAACATTAAAATATGCAGTACCTAACTATGTACTGGGATCAAGAAACCCAGATTCACCGAAACTGCAAGCTACTACTTACTGTTTGGGACTTGTCTTGCCCAGGTTTTTGGTCTACTTTACTATAAGCATATACATATATATATATAAACCAAACTGACGTTTTCGGTCGTGTGACGAGGATTTTTTTTCCAGATTTGTACAATGGCCAAAGCGTATTCTTAGGATTCGCATTTTCCCAGCAGCAGAGTTTATGGTGCTAAATTTTCATCTAAGTTTAATACAATTTAGCTCCTTTTAAAAAGTATTAATTTTTTACCAGTATTTTGTTTACATCAGTCAATTCATTCAGTATAGTCACTGAGTTTTGAATATCAAAATTGTAAATCTATAAAAAATTCTATAGAGGTTTGAAGCAGAATGGCCACTCAAGAAGACAGATCCCTGGGCTCAGGGATATCTCTTCCAAAGTTTTTTAAGAACAGCAGGATGAATGGCAGGTGAGTTTCATGTGCAATTGTTTTTTAGTTCTGGGATTGAAAGATAACAGTGAGAACATGTACAGTGGTAGTTGTTTGTGTTGCAATTGTTCCATATCCATTTTTTATTATTGAGTGTATTCAACTAATGTAAAGTGGTGCAGCACTTTCATCCTGAATAAAAGTAGCAGTCGAATAGCTTGACAGTTTGCAATACTTTATCATACTATCAAATCTGACTGCAAAGTAAAAACAACTGTCAAATTGACAAAGCTATCCCATGACCACTACAATTCAACATAAAAGTGTTTAACTGTTGGACTGATTTATGTTAGCTGAATGCACTCACATTTTTTAATAAAATTAGTGCTGCCATAGTGACAGACTGATAAGATACATAGCAGCAGAAGAAATAATAAATAAAAAATTGTTATTTTTGTTATTACAATATTTAGATGGATGAAAGTGGATCTTTTACTGATGCACAGATAAATCCTTTTTTGAAATAGCTGAGTACCCAGTAATCAGCTAGATTTGAATACCAAACACTGGGTACTCCACTATGTGCTGGGCCAGGTACTTAGTTGAGTGACTTGCTCTGGGTTATTTCAGCTACTGATAGTGAATGCAATATTTATTTGAATTTTTGGAAGGTTCCTTCACTCTCAAAATTAATATACTTTTCCCACAAATGAATGTACCACAAAAAGAAAACATTTGTGCAGCTTAGCAAATATTAAAAGTCTTACAATATAAGTTGAAATTGAAACTTTGACTATGACAACACATTTTTGGTATATTTATTTTTAGTGGCATATCACAATAAAATTCCACAGTATAAAAGCTATTATTAGAATTAGAAAGTTTTTTAAAAGGT